GCGGGGCTGTCGCCGCTAGGTCTCATGAACCCTAATGTCCCTCAGAAAGTGTCACCGGACCCAAGAGAGCCCTGCAGGATGTCGGCGTGTGCAGGAGAGTCCGGCGTCGGCCGTGACTGTGGGGGACGGCGGGCCGAGCCTCGTAAGATGAGTAGTCACTGAATCCAGTGGTTGCCCTGGTGCAATAAAACCGCCTTGTGCGTCCTGGCGAACGACTTGCTTTCGAAGTTCCTCAAGTCCTCGCGGCTACCCCCGGATCCTCTCTCGCCCTCTCTCGCCGATGGATGTCTGCTGCCGCCTCCCAGCTGACAGCGTGGCTCGGTGCGCGTCGCTTCCCGGGCTGTTGCTGCCCCTCTGTGTCTGCCAGAGGGCAGTGCTACGTGTGGACGCAGGACTGCCCCCTCCGTGCTCGCTGACACGTGTCAAGAGCGAGTCGGTTTTGGCCAACCAGGTGAACCTGCAGAAGGATGGTTTACAGGAGGAGGTGGCGGCGAACAGACGGGTGAGGTGCGAGAGGCTGCCGCGGCCTCAGGAGAGGAGAGCGCATGGGAGGAGGTGCGGGCCACAGCGCAACAAGGGGCTCAGTGCCCTCACTGCCACCCCTTCGGTCCCCCATCAAGGTGGCTGTGTCCCCACAGCCCCTAGCATTTCTCCACCTCCGTGAATACAAGTCCATAGTCGAGGGCCGCACTCTCACCTCTCGGTGTTGGGACCTGGTGGTTTCTGGTCTAGAACATAGCCCTGTGCCCCTAGTGCGTCTACGCATGCGCCGTGCATTGGCCCCACGGAGAGCTGGGCATCAGGGCCTGGGCGCTTTGGCTCACATAGGCCAAGTGGTTTTTGGCTGCCTGCCCCATATCCCGCCCCTTCGAGTCCCTCTGTACACTCCACACTAGGGGCCTGTCCAGTTTTTCTACCAGCCCTCACCCTCCACGGCTCGGGTCCTGGGCCGTGGTTGCCGGGAAGGACAAGGAGGGACAGGAAGGAAAGGCTTGGGCTCAAGAAGCCCCACAACATTGGGGGAGGTGGATGGCAGTGCCCAGCGGGCCAGTCATGGGTGGGCAGTGCTAGGATTTGTGTTCTGCGGGCTGCAGATGGGGTTCAACGTGGAGGTGGTGACATGTGGCCACTCGCTGTTGTGTCAGGGTACCAATGGAGGTTTGAATTGGGGCGGCTTGGGACCTCGGGAGGCCCACAGCCCTTCACTCCCAGCCTTTGGGTCCCAGGTGAGGGCATCCTGCAACACCACTCACTGTCCCATGACTGGCAGGGGGGCCACCTGGCTACTCTGGTGCTGTGTGTGCTCTGCATCCTCAAGTGGGAACCCCTGGTCGTGGGTTGTCATGGTGTGTGAGCTCACCAAGTGGCCCTGGCACCCTGTCAACTCCTCCTACTCTCATAGTCTGGTTGTCTTTTACCTGCCCACAGGAACCACTCCATGGGGATAGGTCTCCCCACTAGGACCCCACTGATAAAACTCGAGTTGTGTTGACAATTCCAATGCATTTCTCAGGGCAACACTTAGATAGACTATCGGTCGCCCCTGGGATGAGTGGTGGGGGGGTGTTCTGTCACCTGCCACCCCTCTCCTGGCCCTCACTCTAACCAGTGGGCCAGTGGTTGTCCCAGAGGTTTGGCTGACCACTGGGCCATCTGTCCCCCTGAGTGCAGACCCAGAACCACAACCCACTGGATAGAAGCTGACTTGCAGTTAGTATGTCCCTTGCAGTCAGGAGAACTATGGAGTGAGGAATCTCAACAGATGCGGGTTGCCACCAATTCAACACCAACAGGAATCATCAATTTGGAAACTTCATTCAGAGGACACAGTTTAATTACAAAAACAGCATAGAGGCAACCCTTTGGGAGGGCCTCCTCTGCTCCAGTGCAAGATGTCTTTGTTATATCAGCTCTAGTTGGGGGAAACAGTCTTCAGTGGAAAGGCGTAAGTACACTCTGTGAACCAGAGGGTAGTGGACTTACATAGAGAGGAGTCCCTGCTCCTGGTCCCTGTTTGGTCAGTCCTCATGAGGACTCCAAATCCTCACGGTTTGATTTGTCAGAATGGAGCTGCTCTGATAGGCCAATGAAGATGCTGATGGTGGGGATGGGGGGGGGGAACATCGCTGTACAGCTCTGGTTGGAAGGGGAAAACCTCAGTCCTATTGGTTGAAATAAAATTCCAGGAACTCCTTTATAAGGGCTAGATCAAATGGCAGGAGCTCAGTTCGATGCAGGCTTCTGCCTTAAGTGCAGTTTGTGTGAGAGGCCCCTGGTGTGAGAGGGCCACTTTAAAATGACTGCTGGTCTCTGCTTTTAAATTTGAGCCCAGTTAGCCACCAGAAGCCCTTCTTTCTCAGTGTCTACAGGAATAACAGAGGCCAAGTAGCCAATACAGAATCTAAATCACAGCAAGAACCACCAAGCAACTTAAAAAAGAAAAAAGCCTGGAGCCACTTCTTTGAAAAGTTAACATAAGGAAGATAGTGCCTCTTATGTCCCAATCTTGTTTAGACTGTGGCCTTACATTGTAACTACCTACGGTAGGTCACAGAGATGAGAGAAAAACCTACTATTCTTTTGGATAAAGACAAAAGTAGCTACCAGCCAGGATGACCCAAATTACGAGGTACATTTAGGATAAACTGTAAGAAATGGTGCTATCAAGTCTCCTTTCACTTTGAAGCCAAGTTCTCATTTATGTTGAGAACTTGTTGAGCTGTAACTATATAAAAAGGGTAAGGTTGCTCCCTGTCTTTACCATCTCTTTAGTGGGTTATCTAGGCTGAGCATCACATTCTAGTTTCGTGTTATTCAGTAAATAAAACTGGTTTCTCTTCTACCTTTGTGGAGATTTTCTGGCTGGGGAGAATGTTTTATTTTCCCAACAATGGTCAGCATGTTAAACACTGAGAGCCAATAAGTAAAATCCTAAGAGAAAGACCTAGTAACTTCCACAAATTGTAAGGATAAAAAAGGATGAAGAGACTTATGAAACACTTTGCATCCTGATTGCAAAGAAGTTGCTTTGAAAAGCAAATACGTTTTTAAGACAATGGAGAGGATTAAATACCCCAAGTGGCAGGCTGATTTGAGTCCCCCAAAGGTGTGTATGTCATGAGAAAGAGACTTTGCAAATGTAGTGAAGGATTTTGAGACGAGATTAACCTTAATCATAAGTGTCCTTCCTTGTAAGACACAGAGATACTACACAGAAGAAGGCAATGTAATGAGTGCACACATACCCCTGGCTTTGGAGATGAAGGGGGGGCCAAGGGACACAAGAAATGTACCTGAGGACAAGGATTCAACCCTAGAGCCTCCATAGAGAGTGTACCCCTACCAACCCCATTGATCTTATTCCTAGGAAAGGATACTCATGAGTCAGTAAGGAAAGATGACATAGGGGCAGACTAGGAGAGACCATGTGTCAGCTTCCAGTTGTCCTCTCCCAGTGGTCTCAGGCACAAGTGTTGAAGGCTGCCAGCTCTGATTGGGCAACAACACACATCTGAAGTAGCATTGCTAACCAACGAAGTCACTGAACCTTGGTGTCACTTTTTTTTTCTTTTAGTATATCTGTTATGTCATGCAGACAAGGAGCCAATGGAGGCTTAGAGCCCTCCATTATCTGTATAAAATGTCTGGCATGTAGCCAAAGGCCCCAGACACTCAACTGTTATGAAGCAGATGTTTCAAGGGCTCAAAGGTGTATCTCACAGGAGCCAGGCCAGTGTCAAATGTTCTCTTGGAATGGGCAAAAGCTGAACTCAGGCCTGGAGACTGAACACTTTTGTCCCTTCCTAATTACTCTAACATGTTTACTCTTATCTGTACAATAGATCTAGAATAGAATGGTGTGCTATACTGCACATCTCCCCAAGTTTACGTTTGGTGACCATTATGTGCAGCAAAACAGTACAAAGAAGGGTAGTGGGTAGTGTCTAGAGCTGTGGGGGAGGAGAATATGTTAATAATGAGGACTTGAACTTTTAAAGTGTACAGGGCTGTAAAAGGATAACAAATTGAACCATGGTTCCAGTATTCAAAAACACATTTATTCCCCTCACCAAAGGTAACGAATGAACTTTACATTTGCTTCTTTTATTGCTTTCTTAGTTAAAATACAACAACAAAAACCTCCAAATATTGTGAACAGGTTTCATGAAATAAGCACATTAAAAATGTTCAACATCATAAATCATTAGGAAAGTGCAATTAAGCCCTAGTGTGGGATATCAATTTGGTATGGTCATAGTTTCTTATTATTCTATTTTAAAAGTGTGTAGTGGTAGGAATTCAAAAAAGTACAGCGATTTTAGAAAGTTTGGCATGTTTCTTAGAATGTAAACATTTCATCTCCCTTGTGACTCAACATTGCACTGCCACATATGAAACACTGTAAGGAATACACATTCATGATGAGTTTAATAAGCTTATTTGTAATACTGAAACTGCAAACCACTAAATCCCATTCATCCATTAAGAAGTAGATGAAATGGCGGTATATGTAAACAGTACAATATAGTTCATTAAGAAAAATCAATAAAAAAATAAGTTATTCACATCTATATCATGAAGGAACAGCCAGATATGAGCAAACACATTCACAATTCCAAGTCTGGAAATACAGGGACAGAGATCACAAGATAAATATGAATGGTTAAGGGTTTGATGTTTCATGGTTTACATGTGCTAATACTTACCAAAACTGTACATTTTAAATATCTTGCTTTATTATAAACCAGTAAGAACTTATAATAAATGGTTTCACGGCAAAATCTGAATCCCCTTTTGGGAAAGTAGAAATTTGGCAGTTACCTCCATGCAGCCTCTCAGCCATGGAGCTCTGCTCCAGTAGGAATAAAAGATGTTTTTTGCCGGGACATCCAGAGTGGGATTATCACTCTCTTTTCCCCCACTATGCAGGTTCAGCTGGCCCGGAGATGCTATGGAGCTTTTTGTAAGTTCTCACAATTTCTGCAAAAACCTCCTAAACATCCAGTCAATGGAACATTCATGGGTGCAACTTTGGAAATGGACATCCTTATTGTTTTTTCGTGTCTCTCCCTCCCCATTAAGTCACCAAGTATAGTTCCCACATACCTGATGGCTAGGATAAAAATTTTTATAAAATTGGCATGACAATCGCAGGTGTAAAAGGGAATTATTAATATGTATTTTGCTCCAAAACACACGCGTGGTCCCTCACATTTTCCCTCTTTGTCAGGTGAGCTTGGAATCCACAAAAAAATCCTGACATCAAGAGATGTGGAGGGTGGGGGGCAGCTGACGATCTTTTTGTCTAACCCTAATTTGAGAAGGGTGTAAGCACCCTGCTTTTGCTCCTTGCCTGCTAATTTCACTGGGTAGAAAAGCCTGGGTCTACTGCCATCTGTCATCCAATGTGGAGCAAACCAACTGTCAGCCCCTGTGCTTCCCCATGGGTGCCCAGTGCTGCCACTGAAGATGTGTTCTGGCCCCAGTGGGGAAAATGGAGCAGGTCCCCATGTGTGGTGCACTTCCCTGAGCTGTGGACTGGGCTCTGACACATTAAGAAAAAAATGCTGACCTCCAGCTCACAGAGCCCTGTACTCTATCCCAGGCAAAGAGTGGAGCAAAAATATTCCTTGCTCTGATACTCTGCCCACTGAGGCAGACAGAGTTTGGGGCATCCACAAAAGCTGTTCACCTCTGGAAACAGTTCAATTCTCCTCTCAACCCTACTACACCAGTGAAAGAAACCCCCAAGATGAAAGGGGGCTTAACTTTTCTTAGAGTCATGACACAAGCCAGAGCAAACTGAGGCAGAGTGACTTGGAACCTAATAAATTCCATTACATATGTGAACCTCTGCAAGCCCCCAGCTTCTGCTTGGTAAGACCTTGTTCAGTCCATGTCCGAGTTAGACGGGAGAGACAAAACAATGTCCAGGGGCTCTGGGGATGGTACAGCAGAGGTCACCTACCCTGTTGGTGACCAGTGAGGTGTCTGATGCACCATATGGGCTCAGCGACATAAATGTGGCAAGAGCCTGGGCAGCTTAGAAAGGGTAACAGCTCAAGAACTTCCTCCAAAACTGGCACTCACAGGCCATGTCTACGCTATGGATGTGCAGATAGATGGCATTGAACTTCAAGCTGTTGACACCCTGACAAAAGTCCTCTTGTATGTATTAGAGGGACAGCTCATTCTGAGGCCTTTTCCCACTGTGAACTTTCTCATGGCGCCTGAGATGAGGCCGTCAGCTGGAGGCTTTCCCACACTTGCTGCATTCTTGAAGCCCGGCTGGGCTGTGAAGCTTCTGGGGCTCCAGCACAACAGAACTCTGACTGAGGACTTCCCCACTTTTGCTGCACTTGTGAGGCCTGTGCCTGACATGGACTCTGTGGTGCTGAGTGAGTTGGCTGCTCTGGCTAAAGAATTCTCCACAGTCACTGCACTCAAAGGGTCATTCGCCTGTGTGAACTCTCTGGTGTTGAGTGAGGTCAAAGCTTTGGCTAAAAAGTCTCCCACAGTCACTGCATTTATAGGGCCTGGCTCCCGTGTGAACTCTCTGGTGTTTAATGAGGGTAGAGCTTTGGCTAAAGAGTTTCCCACACTCACTGCACTCATAAGGCCTCTCTCCAGTGTGAATTCGCTGGTGTTTAATGAGGCTGGGGCTTTGGTTGAAAAACTTCCCACATTCATTGCACTTGTAAGGCCTCGTTCCCGTGTGGACTCTCTGGTGTTTAACAAGGTTGGAGTTGGAGGTAAAGAATTTCCCACAGTCACTGCATTTGTAAGGCCGTGACCCACTGTGAATTCTCTGATGTTCACTAAGGCTGGAGCTTTGACTAAAGAATTTCCCACATTCACTGCACTGATAAGGCCTCTCACCCGTGTGAATTCGCTGGTGTCGAACAAGCGTGGGTTTGTTGCTGAAGGCCTTGCCACACTCGCCGCATGAGTACGGCCTCTCTCCCGTGTGGGTGCGCTGGTGCTGGACAAGGATGTGTTTGTAGCTAAAGCCTTTCCCACACTCGCTGCACTCGTAAGGCCTCTCTCCGGTGTGCACCCGCTGGTGCTGAACCAGTCTGTATTTGCGGCAGAAGGCCTTGCCACAGTCACTGCACTTGTAGTTCCTCTGTCCACTGTGAAAGGCGTCCACACATGTGCTGGCCTTTGGTGGCTTGCCCAGGGTAGCGGGAAAGGCCTTCCCAACCTCCCAGCATGCAAAGGGCTTCTCTGATGTGTGGACTATGCAGCTCCTCATACAGGAGGCCTGGACCCTGTTCCAGCTGAAGAGTTTCCCTTTCCTGGGCTGCTGCTGGAGCTGGTGATGCTTCCCACATACCCCGGACAGTTTCTGCCCAGGGACTGTTCCCAGGTCAGCAGCTAAAAGCAGATCACCTTCCAAGGCCAGGCTACACACCTCCCAGTGGGGATAGGCCTGTGCAGTATTTCCCTGTGATGCTTCTTCAGCAACATTCTTCTCCGGTATCTCTTCATCATCTGCTCCATGCCAACTACCTGAAAATAGAACAGGTGGGGTCAACAGTGGCCCAGAACAACCCAATCCCAAAACCAATACCTCAAAGCAGAGAAATGCCCCTCAACTTCATGTAAACTGGGTTAGGAGGAGGCAGCCCCATCAAAACTGTGTCTGACAACCAAGGTGAAAATCCATGGGATTTCCAGGACAAGGAAGCTGGGGACAGGGTGAGGAAGGGCTCTGTGCAGTACTGGGCCTCTACATGTCATAAAATGGGGGCACTCACTGGGCAAAATACACAAGGAGACAGGTCCACAACTCATGCCTCTGGAAACGGTGTTCACTAGGGCCAATACTGCTGGGTACACATGTGTGCTGTGTGGAAGGGTGGTGTGTCCAGGCCCAGGAAAGTCTGACTGCCACTGAGTAGCTTGTGCTCAAAGGCTATTTTTTTTAAAGATTTTTTTTTTAATTGCGGAATTGGGGGGATGGGAACAGTGCTGGGGAATTGGGAGAAGGGGAACAGACAAGTTGCTGTCGTTTTGTTCTTCAGTCTAGTTGTGGAGGAAGTTGCCCCACTGGCCCAAGTTGGCACCATCACTGCACTCTTCCCGGGCGAGGCTCATCAGTCGCCAGCTTCTGGACTGCCGCTCACTGCGGCTGCTGGCCGCTCACGCTGGCTGCTGGCTACACATGGTAACCCATGGCAACCCACTGCCACAGGGGCTGCAGCCTACACCGTCGCTGGCGACTCACAGCAGCCCAGCTCCAGGTTGAGCTGCCGTTCAGCATCTTAGCTGTGGAGGGCAGTGTCACTGGCCCTCATATGTGGGATCCAAACCGGGGCTCTCTGGCATCCCAAGTCAGCTCTCAACCATCGCGCCACTTGGCCGGCCCTCAAAGGCTATTTTAAGGAAAGGTGCAGACCCCAAGATGACACATTAAGGGTAGGACAGTGAGAGGAGTGATAAGAGGTGAGGGATAATCCTGGGTCAGGAGTCAGAGTAGAAATGACAGGAGGGCCGAGTGTCAAGAATGAGGAGGAAAGATATAGAAATGAGGTAGTTGCTGTGCTGAGCATGTTTCTGATATGAGCTGAACCCAGCCCTATCACATCCTCCCCATAGTGCCAACCACCAGGTCCAGGTCCACTTTGAGCCCCCCTTGCTGTGCCTGGACTTGGTCATGTAACCATGGTTCTCCTCCTTGCAATTCCCAATCCTGGTTCACTCGGGCCCCAAGGAATGTCAGCAGAACCTGGAGCACAGAGGTGGCAAGGAGCCAGGGAGTGGCCAAAGTAGCTGGGATGCACAGGGCCAACCCCAAGTCTCCTGACACACAAACCTTCACTGAAAAAGCTTTAGGGAAGCTGGTGCCAGGTCTATTTGTGACAGGAGGCAGTACACATGAGCAGCCTTAGAACCTAAGACAGGTAAACTGGACTGCCCCTTGGAAAAAATGGGAGGGGCAGAGAGCAGCCAGGGCATAGGGCGTGAGGGCCTTACCCAACGACACAACAAGTGTAAAGACCTCCAGCATCACGTTGCGGTATAGGAATCTTTGAGCCTCGTCCAGAAGTCTCCATTCCTCCTGGGAAAAGTACACAGCCACATCCTCAAAGGTAATAGAGCCCTGTGATGAGGGGGACAATTGTATCTATAAGCAGCCTCTTTCCCCAGGAACCCGTATTGAGTCACATTCACTCCTTAATCACTGGGTCAAACCCACAGCAAAAGGTAGCCTGACAGATGACATCTTAGCTCTGGGCCTGAGATGCAGGGACTCCATCCTGCTCCTGCAAGGCAACAGGCTGAGAGGCCCTAGGATCATACCTCATGGAAATGATCAAAATTGGGCCCACCATTCTTTCTTCAGCTCCCAGTACCACAGCCCTGAGGCAGGTAGTTCACATTCCTTCCCCACATGCACATCACACACTGGACTGCCATCATGAACCTGACCTACAAATTTAGCTGTTCTCTGGCCTCTTCACATACCCTTCTGGACATGGCATCCAGAAAGTGCTTGGCAAATGCAACAGGGTACCATTATATCCCAAACCTCCAGCTACAACTTTAGGTCACTCAGAACCATGTGCAATGTACACATCCACACAGCCTCCTCATGTCTCTTCAGCAGTTACAACCTTTGGGCACATAACGCCCATTCAAACTCTGTACCCACTTGACACACCCAGTGTAAGGTAATCTGACATTCTAACAGCGAGACCCACCACACAGCCTGGAGGTGCATAGGAAGAGTTAGAAGCACCAGCCCTACTTCACTATCATCTCCATTCCCCCATGAAAACCTGGGCTGCCTGCTAGACTTTCCCTCCCCATACCTTACCACTGATGACTACTAGTCTTCCTTGTCTGTCTTTGTGACACCTACCACCCTTACCTTCACCAGTTGCTTAAATAAGCGGCTGTCCTCCCTTGTCCTCTAATGACAATGCCACCATGACTTGGATGGTACATTTTAGGTGTCTCCATCCTGAGGCCCTGCCCAGCACTCTAGATTCTCATGTCCAGCTGTCCACTCATCACCTGTACTTGGGAGTCTCTGGAACACCTGAGATTCAACATGGTCAAGACCTAATTCTTAATATTTTCACTGAAAAATACTGCAACCACCAACTTTGTCATCTTAGCTGAGGGCACTTTCCATCCTCCCAGTGATTTGTGACTTCTCTGTTACCCTCCACATTATAAAATAAGATCAGCCCAACTTTAAAAACAAATCCAAATGCCAACTATTTTTCCTGTCTCCCCCAGTATATTCTGTACACTCCAGCCAGTGGTAGCTTGTTAAGACATGAGTCACATCACTTTTCTCCTCTGCTCCAACAAGTCTGTAGCTGCCATCACTCTTACACTACCTTTCTAGGTAAGACTTCAGCCCACCAGATTATGAGAGAGACCTTACAAGTACTTACAACAAACATTCCCATCTCAGTCTCATCCCTGAGAACATGTACATATGATCCCTGTACTTCAGCCAACGTTTCACAACTCACACTATTGCGTGCCAAAATGGGGGTCTCTTAACCTCTGGCCTGGACTTAAAAACCTGGGTTTAAAATTGCNACAACAAATGAGTTTCAGGACACCTGATACGCACCTGTGCAGGGTCCATAAGTGCTTCTGCTGAAAGCGAGACCTAGGGGAGGATAAGGGCTTTGTTACTTTCATTCCCATCATGGCTACAGACAAAAAAAAAAGAAGACAAATGATTGAAACCCTTAATATTTTAGGTGGAGGGAATAAAGCATGCAAAGGAGGGAAGAAAATGTTTATGGATTTCTGCCATGAAACCAAGGCAAAGCCCCTCTGTAAGGGTCATAGTTGGTGTGTTTGTTAGTAGCATTCATAAGCCTAGCATGGCAGGACCCCCAATAAGCCAGAAGAGGAGGGTGGTCATTGAACAAATGGCGGCTACAGATGCAGTTCACTGCCCACTATGGCTCTGGCAAATGCAGGAGGGGAGGAGAAGTCGGGCTGCAGTTTCCTTCCTAGAAAAGGTATCTCTGTCTCTTCCTCCTTCCTCATTGTGTCTGAGTCCCTGGAGCTGGCTAGGAAGCTGTACACAACCTACTGGTGGGACCATTATTTGGGCTCATTCCAGGAGCACAAGGATGATTTAACATACGCAAATCAATCGATGTGATATACCCCATCAACAAAATAAAAGATAAAAATCATATGATCATATCAATAGCTGCAGTAAAGCATTTGACAAGATAAATCAAAACACTCAATTCAATGCATATAGAAGGAAAGTACCTCAACATAGTAAAGGCCATGTATGACAAACCCTCAGCTAATACCAGACTCAATGGTGAAAAACTAAAAGCTTTCCTCTAAGATCAGGAACAAGACAAGGATGCCCACTCTCACCACTGTCATGCAACATACCACTGGAAGTCCTAGTCACAGCAATCAGGCAAGAGAAATGAATGAATAAGTTATTTGCAGAAGACATGACTCTTTATATAGGAAACCCTAAAGACTCCACCAATGAACTAGAAGAATAAACAAATAGAGTAAAATTGCTGATACAAAAACCTATAGTATTCCTATATGCTAACAAGATATCTGAAAGAAAAGTGAAGAAAACAATTCCATTTATACTCCCAACAAAAAGAATAAAATACCTAGATAAAATTTAAGAAAGGAGGTGAAGCACTTGTACACTGAAAACTACAAGACAAAGTTGAAAGAAACTGAAGATGACACAAAGAAATGGGAAGAGATTTCATGTTTATGAATAGGAAAAAGAATTAACATAGTTTAAAGGCCCCTATTACCTAAAGCTACACAGATTTAATGCATCTCCATCAAAAACCCAAGGGCATTTTTCACAGAAATAGAACAAAAATATCAAATTTGTAGGGGACCACCAAAGCAATCCTGAACAAAGTCACAGTCCTTGACTACAAAGCTACAATAATAAAAACAGAAAACAGGCCAATGGAACAGAATTGAGAGCCCAGAAATAGACCTACGTATATTGTATATAGGCAATGCATTTTTCTTCAAAGCAGCCAAAAGCATACAATTCAAAAAGGAAAGCCTCTTCAATAAATGGTATTGGGAAAACTGGAATACCATATGCTTAAAAGAATGAAACTGGACTTCTATCTGAGACCATACACAAAAATTAACTCAAACTGGATTATAAATTTGAATATAAGCCTGAAATAAAATACATAGAAAACACAGGCACTCAATTTATGGACCTTGGTCTCAAAGGGTTTTTGTCAACTTCACCCATAAAGCAAGGAGAAAGAAAAGATAAAAGAAAGGGACTAATCAAACTAAGAAGCTTCTATGTAGCAAAAAAACAAAACAAAACCATCAACAAAAAACAGCAACCAACCCAATACAAAGTACTGCCCCATGATACCTCCAATAAGGGGCTAATATCCAAAAATATATACAGAACAAGAACTCATACAACTCAACACACACACAAAAAAACAATCAAATTAAAAAGGGGGGACTTCCAGTCAAGATTGCAGAGTAGGTAAATGCTGTGCTCGCCTCCTCCCACGATCACATCAAAATTACAACTAAATTATAGAATAACCACCAGAAGACAAGATGAACAGAAGTCCTGTAACTTAAGGATATAAAGAAAAAGCCACAGACTGTTAGGAGGGGTGGAACAGGCTGGTCCCACACCCATGGTGGGGCAATTAAGAATCAGGAGTATATCTTGACTGCAGAGGTTCCCCCTGAGGGGTCCCAGCCTGGGGCACCAGAGCTGAAAGAGAGGCCCCCATAACATCTAGCTGTGAAAACCAAAGGGAGTGGCTCTGAGTGAGATGGAGAGCGGCTAGAGTCCCAGGTGTTCCTCTTGAGGGGCCCACATATGGACTCACGAGCTCTGGGCTCCAGTGCGGGAAGTAACTAAACTTACTAGCTTCAGGATGAGGGCTGGAGGGGCAGCTCCCTCCAAAGACAGAAGCACTGGCAGGTACCATTACCCATTTGGGGAGCAGGTACCAAATTCTAGCTCTCCATTAACCTGGCTAGCACCATTCACCACACCAAACCCAACACACATGCCTGGTCCGAGCCACTTCCAGCAGCTCTTCCATACAAGTGACCTGCCTCGCCCCATGCTATGGACTTTTCTAAAATCTCTCAGAAGTCCACAAACCCCAAGCAAGCTGTGGCGGGCCCTGTACCTCTTGTTAAGTGGCCATAAGCCCAGCACAAGTGGCAACAAGTCTCAGCTTGCTCTGTGCCTCCCCTCCCATCAAGAGGACCCAAGCCTTACATAAGCAGTGGCCAATCTTGGCCTGGAATACGGCTTCAACTAAGTGGCCACAAGCCTGGCACAAGTGGCAGCTGACCTCAGCTCACATCGTGGTGCCCACCAAAAGCTCCCAAGCCTGGCACTAGTAGCAGTAGGCCTTAACTCGCAGCATAGCCTCTTCAAGGCCAGCACAAGTAGTAATTAACCACAGACCACTTTGTAGCTCCCATGAAGTGGCCCCAAGCCAGGCACAAGCAACAGCTGACCTGGACCTGCACCAGAGTTCCTCCTAAGAGGCTCCAGAACCAACACACCTGGAGGTCGGCTTCAGAGTACCACCCAACCAGCTTCCTAAAAGCACAACTGAAGGGCACACTCGGCTGGCACCACAGCCCACTCCAGTGGACTCTTGCTCCATGGGGCCAGTCCCCAAAGCCAGTCAGATTGAGGACCAACAGCAACCAAGGTTCAACTACAACAGGAGGCCACACACAAGCCACACCCCTAGAGCACCTGGCTCAGGTGACCAGGGAGACTGCAACACTGGGCCCCATAGGACACCTATTACATAAGGCCACTCTACTAAGACCGGGAGACATAGCAGCCCTACCTAATACTAGAAACAAATACAGGGAGGCAGCCAAAATGAGGAGACAAAGAAACAAATCCCAAGTGAAAGAACAGGACAAAACCCAGAAAAAGAACTAAATGAAATGGATACATGCAATCTACCAGGTACAGAATTCAAAACATTAGTTATAAAGATGCTCAATGAACTTAGGAGAAGAATAGATGAACTCAGTGAGAATTTCAACTAAGATATAGAAAACATAAAAAAGAACCACTCAAAAATAAAGAATACAATACCTGAAATAAAGGATACATTAGAGGGAATCAACTTGGTGAAGGGGAACAGCCAAGTTGCCGTCCTTCAATCTTAGCTGTGGAGGGCACAGCAAGTTCAGCTCCAAGTCCAGTCACACCACTCAGCTCAAGGTGCTGTGCTCAATTAGTTGTGGGTGGGCGTGGCCACCATCCCATGTGGGAGTCAAACTGTCAGCCTTGGTAAGAGCTCACGCTCTATCCCCTGAGCCATCCGGGTGGCAGCTCAGCTCAAGGTGCCAAGTTCAGTCTTTAGTTGCAGATGAGCGTAGCCCACCATCTTGAACAGGCAACCTTGTTGTTTGGAGCACGTGGTCTCACCAGCTGAGCCATCCTGCCACCTGTTGGCAGCTCAGCGGCAGCTCGTGTTGGGCACAGTGCACTGGCCCATGTGGGAATCGAACCGGCGACCCTATTGCTCAGAGCTCACACTCTTGCGCAAGCTCTTAACCAACTGAGCCACTCAGCCAGCCCAAAATGCAACCAATTTTTGAATGTTAGTTTTGTATCCTGCTTCTTTACTGAATTCATTTATTCTAATACTTTTTGGTAGAATCTATGGGGTTTTCTCTATAGAGTATCATGGCATCTGCAAATAATGACCGTTTTACTTGTTCTTTTCCAATTTGTATGCCTTTGTTTCTTTCTCTTGACTAATTGCTCTGGCTAGGACTTCCAGGATTATGTTGAATAACACTGGTGAGAGTGGGCATCATTGTTCTTATTCCTGATCTAGCTTTCAGCTTTTCACCATTGAGGTGATGTTAGCTGTGGGTTTGTCATATATGGTCTTTATTATGTTGAGGTATGTTTTCCTCTATCCCCACTTTGCTGAGAATTTTTATCATGAATGGATATTAGATTTTGTCAAAGTTTTTTTATGCCTCTATTAATACAAGATTTTTATCTTTCATTTTGTTTATATGGTGTATCATGTTATTTGATTTGCAGATATTGAACCAACCTTGCATTCCAGGAATAAATCCTCATGGATAAATTGATCATGGTGTATGATCTTTATAATGTATTGCTGAATTTGATTTGCTAATATTGTGTTGAGGTTTTTCCCCATCTGTTTTCAGCAGGGATATTGGTTTATAACTTTTTTTTTTGTAGTGTCTTTGTCGGATTTTGTTTTCAGGGTAATGCTGGCCTTGTAAAATGAGTTTGAGAGCTTTTTCTCCTCATGAATTTTTTTGGAATTGTTTGAGAAGGGTAGGTATTAATTCTTCTTTGAATGTTTGCTAAAATTCATGTGTGAAGTCATGTGGTCTGGGACTTTTGTATGTTGGGAGTTTTTCTATTACTGTTTTGATTCAATTTCATTAGCAGTTATCAGTCTGTTCAGATTTTCTGTTTTTTCATGATTCTCAGCCTTGAAAGCTTGTATGTTTCTAGGAATTTATCCATTTCTTCCAGGTTGTCCCCATTTATTGGCATATAATTGCTCATAGTATTTCCTTATAATCCTTTGTATTTCTGTGGTGTCGACTGTCATTTCACCTCTTTCATTT